AAGACTTCAACAATTATGCATCAACAAGTAACAACAACAACTAATATAACCTATTATTATAGAAGTAGGGTGAAAACTATTTTCTTTTTTATATTGAAAAGTCCACTTTACAAGTTTTTCAGTTTTGAGTTCTAAAATTATTCAATTGTTTGTGAAGGAATTAATTTAACTTAATAAGCTTATTTCCATTGTCTGAGGTGCTGATGTAATTTATCAGGTTATTGATAGGAAAGGTTGAGATAAACACGAACGTTTACATATACACTCAATTACAAGTTCTCCGCAAGCATAAATAAAACAATTTTTATTGCAAAATTTTGATAAGTTAACATAGGAAATGTCATCAATAACAATTTTATTTCGTGGCCACTTCACTTACCGCAAAAACTGCATCCCAAAATAATGCAAAAACCTTAAGTGTTTGCGTCGAACAAGCCATTTTCGTAAATTTATACTATTTTCAATTATTTATTATTTTCAATTAAATTAAAAATTAAATAAATTAATAAATAAATAAAAATTGAAATAAATTTCAATTAAAATAATTTTGCAGAAAAATGAAATTACTTCCAGTTGCACTTTTAGTTCTTTCACTTTTGTAAAAATAAAAATAACTTTTCTATTTCTGTATATTTCGCACGAATTTAGTATTTTTTTTTTTAAACTAAAAATAAAAAAAATATTTGTGCGCTACACAACAAATTTTTAGAAAAACACAAAATCGAAAGTTTTGTACAATTTTCAAACTATAAATTTTGTAAAATAAAACGCGTTGCCGCTTTTCGCTAAACCGTAATCATCGCTGTTAAATGCTCAACTAAAATTCAAAAAGTTTGTCTTCATTTCTGTTGTTTTTAGTGCTTTTCTGTTTCGTTTTCAAAACGTTCCCACTTAGTCTGTAATCAGTTAAGAAATTAATGAAAAATGAAACAGTGGCGCGAAATAAGTGAACTAAGAAGAAAACGATGCCAGTGTAAGAAGCAAACTTATTTTCATATAACATACATATGTATGTGTTAGGCTTCCTTTTAATAATTATTAATAAAAATATATTTAAAATACAATATTTGTCAATAAACAAATTTTTTAATAAATATTAATAATTTTATGTTAACATTTTTGTTTATCTTTTGGTTATGTTTACTTGAAGCAGAAAATTCGTTCGGATTTGAGGGGACCAAAACCATGTGAAATATTGTCACGTATACGCCACCATGCGCCTATTTAAATTGTCTACTAAATTCCAACAAACTCATATGTTTAGTTCTATTTAATATGCGTAAATTTTTTTTTTTATGATATTTGTTAGTTTTACTTTTACAATTTACAATTTAAAATAAAAAATAGTGTTAAGATTTTAAATAAAATTTTGCGAGAGAATCTATTGAAGCAATCATTTCCCAGTTGTCTATTATCAACATAGAAGATCTGTTATATACTTTCTTTAAACCGAGAGATATTTGAGTGAGCTGTCAGCTTCAATATAAGTGGGTTAAGTTGCTTTTAAAACATTCGAATGCGTGATTCAGAGTACTATTTAATATCTTGAGACAGTATAAGAAACCTAAAGTCACAATAAATTTGATGATCCAATTTGTAATTATTTCTAATATTTTTGCTTGGAATCTTTGTAGAGTTTCTATGTTCGACATTGTTCCACAAATGTATCTTCTACATACAGATCAGTTTTAAAGCAACTGAGTACAGTAACAAATTACCGTCGATTAACAAATTGTAAGTTTGGATTTATTAGCTAAGATTGATTTCTAAAGTTTTGTTTCAGTCATGAGTTTTAAGAGTTTATATGTTCTATATGTCAATTTATTATCGTGGTACGTGCTTATATATTTTGTTTAATGATTTTGTGGTACATTGAACTTTTCAACGGATTTCAACAGATAGACAAATTTTTCTATTATGCGTGAAAATAACTCAAACTAACTTTTATTGACCGGTCTCAATTTTATATTTATTAATCTAATGAATAATTTTAGCTGCTTCTTTTTGGAGTATAAAGAGAGCTCCTCTGGGAAAGAAATTTATTGTTTCAATAGATGTTTCGTCATCTATAATTATAACAGTAGTCCTTTGAATTTATATAGTAGATCATTTATTTAGCGTGCCATTCCTCATTTATATGAAATCCATAATCTCAAAAGTTTTTAGTTAGAGACATAAAAGGCTTACAAAATTTTCGCTTTTAATGTGGTGAGTTTATTAAGCCAGTACTCAGCGAGTTGTTTGTCTTAATAGTGACTCGTGGCAAATTGTATTATCAAGTAATAATAATAGTTTTTTGTTCAGATCCATACAACAATATTGACTTGACATTTTCATTGAATATATCAATGTTTGATTTCGGTAGCGCTATACATACCAATATGATTTACAAATGCACTCATTATCTTCCATAACTAGTTGTACTATTGACTAGATTTGGGATCTATAGACCATCGAAATATCTACAGGGTGATTATCTCTTAGTGATAAACTACTAAGCTTATTGGTATATATTACCACAGACGTAGTTCTAGCGATGTTATTTTTGAATCAAACTTTCTGAATCACACTTTCTGATATTCAAAATGCAAGTTGGCTATTTGTGGCTTTGATGTATAAGATTGCACCTACTTAAGATGAAAAACAGGAAGATAGCATATGCTGTCAATTTTGGTCTGTTGCACATCAAGTGCTTCGAGGACAGCTTTCGAACCTAAAATTAAGAGAATAAAGAGAATAAAAGAAATATTTTTAGTAAATAAGCTTACTATTCTTATTAGCACATCTACAAAAAAAAACATTCCTATCTGCGCAGGATATAAACATATATAGCTGAAAACTAATGTGATATTGTTATGACCTTCTAAAGATAGATTTTTTCCCACTTTGAACTGTGGCAATTTCACGGTGGGGCAAAGCGACCCCGAAATGTTAATATTCATTCAGAATTTAAGTATGGTATTTACCAAAGCGTAATAGCATAAAAGAGTAATATTTACATAATAATTCACAACATTATTTTAGACATTCGCAAAAAATATGGCATAATATGGTACCCATCCCATAGGTGTGGATCGGTATGTATGGGAACTAACCTGGGTCAAGTTAAAAAGTATCTGCACATAGTTATAGCCTGATATCAATATGGTAAAGATCATTCTCAGTACTTGAAAAAAATAGTATTAGTTCATGTGACCTCAATTAAAAGCTTATTAAAAACTTCATTACAATGCAAAAGTGGTTACAAAGAAAACAGTGTTTCTATAGGTATTTCGTTATAAATTTTATCTCTTTCGATACATCACCTTATTGATGTTGATTTCTCTGTTCATTATATTTATATATTAATCGTAAGCTTTTTATAATTAATTCATATGTACAAATTATAAAATTCAAACTTATCAGATTTTAATAAAACATTTAATTTCCAATATATTTATTTATATAAACAATATTCAAATCTTATAAAATGATGGTGACGGAAAAAGAATTTGAATTTTGTTTTTTGTTCAATTAGAAGTGTAACACGTGTCAATTTATAGATACTCCAGAAAAGACTAAGTCAACTAGTTTAAAAATCATTATTAATGTACCAAATTTTAGTCATATTATACTATATATTGCAAAACATATACAAAGCGAATACAGGTTTAAGCACCTGCCACCTACTAAGTACCACCTACTAAGTTAGCTTAGGTTACTGGGGCCGTCCGAAGACTCACTTAGACCATGGGGTCCATTGTGATGCCCTAAAAAATTTGACACCTGTCCCTATAGCCATTTGGCTAATTTGTGCCAAAAATATTAGCTAATATGTACATTAATATAAGTTTAAATTTAATTTTGTTTAGGACTTAGAGTCGATCTTAATAGCTGGTATGAGGGTTTATTTTTTTCGGTACTTCTCTTACTTCCTTTAAGTGTTCTGCAAGACTTACTGATAAGAATCTTTTTGTTTGTCCGATGTATATTTTGTTGCAGGAGCCACATATGATTTTATATACTCCGCATTAATAGCTGGTATCTTTCTACTAAAAGTTGTACTCAACAACTATTTTTCGATATTCAGTGAAAGCTGTGGTTAAGGTTACTCTGTCTCTAAGATTGCAAACTTAAGAACATTTAACATTAATTCTACTCTATAATATTTACTTTATTTGCTTATCAGCTGCTAACACATATATATATCATTTTTAGTAAATATTTATTTCATACGATAATATATCATTCAACATATATTACTCTTCTTTTGTCTACATTCAATTATTTGTTAATTAATGGTAATAAACTTAATATGAAGTATTCTTTTAATAATTAACAGACTTTGTTTTACTAATAAAGCTTTATTAAAAATATAAATACTAGCACATGTGTTAAACAAATATAAATATGAAGCTACCTTTTTAACAAGTTTGAGTTTTTAAACATAAACAATTCTATTTGTGTTGCTACATTTAAAATTTTATATTAATTATTTTTAAATTATGAATAAATATTTATTTATAGATATAAAATACATATATTTTTAAAACAAAAAAATATACATTTTTATATATATTTTATATTAAATACTTTAATAGCAATTTTCACATTATTTATTGTATTCGTATTTTCATTTTTGATTCGTTGCTATAATCTATATGAGCTGCCAATAAAAAACCAAAAAAAAACATTAATATATATAAAAGTATAGAAATAAATATAATATTTTTAAATTCCGAATCATATAAAATTTATATTAAAATTTTTCCGCAAATAAGTTTTGAACTAAATTTAAATAAAAACTAACAATTTATGTCTAAAAATGCAAAGAATCATATTTTGTTCAATAATATTAATTTATGCATAATTAATATTAAGTTAAATTTTAAAAAAATTTTAACAGATGCATATACATATATATATTTATATATAGTAATTGAATTAATCTCAATTTAATTTTACTTTAGAAGTTAATAACAAATTTAATTTGATTTAAATTTAATAAAATATTTCAATATTAGCTTTATTTTAACATTTGACTTGTTCGCACAACACATTTATACCAATTTTTGGTTAAAATCTTAAAGGGTAGTATAATAAAAACTACAATGTATTAAATTAGTTTATAACATAAATAGTTTTCTTAAAATAATTTATCTGTAGAAAAAAGATTAAAAGTAGGCACGCCTATTATCATTTCGTATGCTGTTGCAGAGACAACAGGCTATAATGCTGCTTATGAACTGCAAGAAAATAAGAGTAATAATTACTTATAGTCAAATTGGAATAAATTTAAAATTTTATATTTACCTCCAAGGCAATCATAATCCAGGCTAATATGTTAAATATATGCAGCAGATCGATCCAGTAGTTCTCGAATTCTATACGGCAACCATTCGTGATTAAATTCTCAGTCTTTGTGTTGTCGTTATTTTTGAAGCAAGTGGCCGGTGGCAAACGTTCATTGACAATGTAATCCTGAGGACTGGCACGACCGCAGCAATCGAACTATTAATAATAATATATAGAATAATGTATGATATGATTTTTTTTATTAAGTAAACTTACCCAGTTTTCATATAGTGACATAGCACCTGGACTCTTCAATTCTTCTTCCCAAGCTGTATCCAAAGAATTCGCCAAGTTTGATGCAACAGAATTTTCGCCTCTTATCAAAAGAAAAGCTACTGCTGCTTGTGCTAATATTATCACATATAGGAATACCAAAAACTGCAAGTAAAATTATAAAAAGTAATTACAAATTTTTAATTTCTGTTAATTTTGAATGAGTTACTTACCGTCACAGTACAGCAAACATTTTCCCTTATAGCACCAAGACAGCCCAATAAAAATATGACCAATGTTGCCACACCAATGCCTATGTAAGCATAGGCTGTCATGGAACCAATCTCATTTGTATCGTAGGAACATAGTATATAAATGCCAAATGATATAAGCACCAAGGCAAGGAGCTGAAAAGAGAGATTGTTTTAATACATATTTTTAATTTATAATGGCTTATGTGAGGACAATAAAATAATTTGAACATAAACCATCTTTTTTATCTCTAACACATCGAAGTTTGTTTAACTTCTTTTCTTGAACTCTTAAATAATAATAATAATAATTGTAACATAAACTTATATTATTCTCAAATAATCAATTAATCTATCTATTGATTTTATGTACCTGTTGTACATATTATTATAAAGCATATCTGTAATAGCGATAAAATAATTAAAGTCTTCTACTACTAATAATAATATAAATTTGTTAATACTCTGAAATGGTTTAATAGTATTTAAATTATAATAAACTATTTATATATTATTTCGAGATAATCAGACCAACAGTAGGAAGTTAAATTGGATCGAATCCCAATTAGTTGACAACATTTTTGACTCCAAACTCACAGTACAATGATTCAAATAATTTGACTTGTTAATATAACGTTATATTATTAAAAGAAAATAATATCCATAAACTTTTAGCCTAAATCTGATAAAATGAAACAATGCATAAAAAAAGTTTGTGTCTTCTCCGATCAACAGCAAATGCAATAACGGGAATTAAGCATGATAACCCCACAAAAGCTTAACAAAAAATACCTGAACGCGCTAAGTAACCGTACAATTTTCACACCAATATGTTTTCTAAATAGCACAAATAGACCTGGTAGACGTAAAAGATATATTTGAATCAGAAAATGATAGCCCATCAATTTATATAGATGTATGATCCATTCATGCAGTTACTTCTGTCTCTGAACAGAATATTTTATATATCATTTGCGGAATATTACCTATTGATAGATTAATCATAGAATTTTATATTAAAGAAAAGATTAATTGTATACATATATATTTTTTTTTATATTAATAAAATATTTTTTTAATTATTATTATTTTTCTTTGTAGTGAGGATAATAAATCATAATTTTTGGAACTGATTTTATATAAAATGTTATTGAGATAAAATTCTGTTTACTCGAAACGGGCAGATGAGTCAATTTTTCAAACATTGCGATTTGAAATTAATATTTTAAAATTTTTGAATAATAAATTTTCTTTTAATATCACTGCGGCAGTATCCATTCGGGGCACCCCATTTTTAGGCTCTTTCAGCAAAGGAAAAACATTGAACACATTGCTCTCAACTTCAAGTTATTTTTTTTTTCTAAGTGTTAAAGTTGATTATAAGAAATTTATTTCAACAAAAAGTATTAAAAATTTTGCAAATTTTAATATTAAGATATTTTAGTTTTGTGCATTTTTAATTAATGAAATAATGCCTCAAATATTTGTTTATAACAGAAATTGGCTTTTTTGTTTGTGTTAATATCTTCAAATCTTGAAACTTAGTTATTGTGTTTTTTTTATTTATTTTTAATTTATAGAAAAAAAATTTAAAAACAAGATTAACGAGTAAAACAAGCTGAATTAAAAAATTAATTTAGTTAAATTATTTTAAAATGATAAATCAGAATGAATAAATCAACAACTAACAAACTGCAACAAAACGTTCCTATAAACATCAATGCTAACATCATCGATAGATCATCTGTTTTTCAAGGAGTAAGATAGAGGTGAATTCTGACGCTCTGAGAAGATCTAACAAGATTCGATACCAACGTGGATCAAGAAGTACAAGTGAATGGTACGCTTATTAATAACATAAAATATGCAAACTATACCAATAGTTAACAGTCTATATGAATCAGTAAAGAAGATTAGTTTATGTAGAGAAATATTTGTTTTCCAAATAATCACAAATAATATAAAAAATTATGATTATAATCAAAAACAGTAATACAAATTTAATTCTTATCCAAATACTATTAAAGGAGTGCAATTTCAATTGTCTTTGGAATTGTTCCAAATGTTCTAATGTGTTTCCACAAAAAAGTATTGAACTATCATCGTATCAATTGCAAAACCACAAGCTCCGGCATTTCTAATAATTTTGTCTAGCGAATAATCTGTCTTTCTTCGTCTTCAATCTGCCGTAGGAGAAATCAATCCGAGACTCTAGTCACGTCAAATATTAGCATTAGCAAACGGCATTGATAGAAACGGGAGATCTGAAACAGTTGTACAAGAATTCATCGCCGATGCATATATTCTTGGGTAATATCCTCTTGCAATGGAATTGTTGTTGAAGGGCGTCAAGATCGAACATCAGGCGTAATGAGGATTATGAATATGTGAATATTTTAATTTATTTAAAGCTTGAAGCAGGTAAGTTTATGATTGCATATTAATTGATATATATATGTATATGTGAGTGAAATTTTTCTAAATGTCAGTTTTGATTACTAAAACCAAAATTATTTCATATGAAAGAATAAGTCATTAAATAGATTTGCACATTCCAGATAATATGGAGATGTCAATATGTATCTAAAATTAAAATGTAAGTAAAAAAACAGGCCGGAGAAAAAAATGTATTATTATCTTTAAAGTACTTGGTTAGATATATATGTACAAGTTATCTAACAAATGGTAATTGTTTTTTGTTGTAAATGTTTAATTCAAATACGATATATTTAATTTTAGATGCTTAAATACATTAAGCTGAGATATTTAGAGTTTTGTATATAAAAAAATTTATATATGTAAAATATACATTTACATATGCAAAACTAATAAAACAAACTATAATTTTTCTAATTACTTTAGTTAATATACACTCATGAAAAGAAACCTATTGTCATGAATTCTATCCAAAGTCATTATAGTAAATTTAGCATTATTGTTTATTAAAATGATTAAGTTAAAATGGTATAATTTCCATTTCATTTGCAATTAAATAATAAGTGACTCAAGCCGTCAATTTTTATTTGATAATCTAACACATATAGCCAATAAAAGCTGCCAGATAATATGTCTGCGAGCACTGCATCCCATGAAATGTGAACTCACGTTAATTAAAAAAATTTATTTATATAACAATGTATGACACTAACTACACGTTAAATTAAAATTAGTAGAATTAATGCATAATAATTAATGCAAAAAAAAATTATTAATAAGTTTATAAATAATAAATCTAACCTTTTTTAAAGCCTTTGAGATATATACTAGTAATATATACTAGTTAGCAAATTAATTATTAGGTATTTGAATTTTTTAGAGGAGATCTAGAAACACTACAACCTAGATATATTAAATATGCTTAGTATAAAATTAACTCGATTTATTAGTTCATAAAATGGTGTTATATGCAAAGAAAATCAAATTTCTTTCAGCTTTGAAGATTTTATTGACCTTTTGACACTTAAAATTGTTATTTTATTTTTACTATATGTAGTCATGAATTAATTATAAGTATTAGTACAAGATATATACTAACGATTTTAAATATAAAATAAAATAAAAATATCTCCCTTACATTTGGAATTCAAATTTTTTAATTGGCCATTTATTATAATTTATTTTAAATAGCTCAGCAATTTTCTTCCGCTTAAACTAATTATTATAAAAGTTTTAAAAATATTTCACTAAAATATAACGCACAAATATATCAGAGTCTTTATAATCAAGTTTTATTCAACAACTGACCACAATATTTCGAAACAATTTTTATACTGATCCAACGAAATTATTTTTAGTATGTCGATCTAAACCTTTTAGATGATTTAAATAATAAAGACATTATTTCTTTTCATCGTCGCTTTGAGTTTGCAGAATAGCCAGAAGTTGAACGTAAGCATATCATGAGCAGTAAAAATAATGGCTTAGCTCGATGGCTTAGTGCACTAACGTGTCTGGCTGTCAATATTCCGATCTCTCTATCCTACGTGCACTGTCTGACTTACTCTGATGAAATTACAGAGATCAATTACAATTGAATCGAAGAAAACGTAAAATATATTCTTCATCTTACATTGTTGAATGCGTATTTTTCTCTATTTTCGGTATTCTCGTGAATTCCAAGCAGCACACTTACGGTTCTTTGCGGTACATATTGGAAATATCACCTTTTATCATGTTGATATCTTTACAATGTTAAACTCTCAAATCTCTTTGATCATTCACCAGAGTGTCTGTCTCAACTCAAGAATGGATTTTTTCTTTATACAAAATTCGTTAGGTTGTGACTTCCAGTATCCAGTATCCAGTATGTCAAATCACAACATAATGTGAAGAAAATTTGCTCAAATTGTGGAAGTAAGTATTCACTTTATTCACTTACTTTTATTTACTCATAGATATCGGTGTGTTAAAAACTTTTTTGGAGCTAGTTTAATTCGATTGGAGACAGACTGTGCAATATTTAAACAAATGATGTTCATTGAACATAAACCAACAAATGTAGATTAGGTAAAGTTATTACGATGATCGTATGGATCTATTTAGCTCTGTTAGCTCATTATGTTTTTGACACTATTTTACCAGTTTAATGAAGCTTAAGGTACTTTTCACGGGGAGCTCTTGCAAATGACTAAGATCCTTTCGAAACTAAATCCGTAATATCAAAAAGTAAAAAAATCTCATTACTATTAAAATTCAATTATAATTTATTTAATTTTATTTACTGAAGCAATAAATAAACAGCAACGAACAAATTTTTAATATTGTTTTATACAAGTATATACTATATATAGTAAATCATTTACTTACAATATAATTGCTAAAACTTTTTCAAATGCCCTTTAATTTAAAAAAAACAATATATTTCTATTTAAATTAATTTTCATAAAGAGTAAAAAACTAATTAATAACTTGGTTATTATTTAAATTTTTATTTTTTAATCACGACATACTAAAGTTAAATAAGTAATTAATTATATATGTAGTTTTTGCATTGCAAACATGCAAAGATATAACAGTCAGCTAATGAGTATCAATATCTAATAAAATAAATAAATTAAATCAGATCAATAGTCCCTATGTTGCCTAATATACATTATACGAGTATACGTTCAAACATTCATGGGTAGTAATAAAAGATATATTTTAATGTAAACAAC